ACATGTTCATTCTGTTTATTCTTTATTGAATTATTTGCTGCTAGACAGTTTAAAGGTAGGGTAGGTAAGTTTGAGAAACCAGCTCGAGATCGCTAGAATTTGAAAATACACAACCGGAGAAAATCTGCCACTTCCTTATAGAGCCCCTCCTCCAACACACACGAACGCGCACATGACCAATGAGGGCACGAGATAAGTTTGTGCACAGATGGAAGGCTGACAGGCAGGTAGGCCATCCAGTTATTTTAGCCGGGCCGGCTAAAATGATTGGTCGTACTTTTTACAGTATTACAGCTTCCACAGATGACATTTTTTTATGGATTTTTTGTCAAAGCACTTAAGATATTCATTGCTATCGGGATGTTAAGAGCATTCCATGGAATATAACAAAAAGTGTATCTCGAGCCGGTTTCTCAAACTTACCTACCCCACCTTTAAGACAGTTTAAGATTTTCTAACCATATGGTACCAACATTTTTCGTATCCAGGTTTCAGGGCTTACCACATCAAAACAAGCGCACTGCAGCAAATGAATGTGAATTGCTCAATTCTCGTCGATACTTGATCCGCCCTAATAAGGTCAGTATTGGCACAAAGTCCAACAGATTGTATTGGTTTATTTCTACAGAGAATGGTAATTGTCGTGCTCAAGAGAGAACTGGTGTAGTAAAAATGGTGCTCACGTTATGCTCTGATGTTTTTATAACAGAAGCTTGTGAGGCCTTACAACAACACCAATCCTCCAACTCTGCGACAAACTGGACCCAGTGTTTCTGCCTCTCTAGATCCTTGTTTCAGTGTAGCGTTGGCCTACATAATGTCATGTTCCACTGGCACAGCTCACTGTTTGGACAGGCCCATCTCTGCTCCCTTGCTCTGCATTACACATCTGACTAAGTGTCCATCTGTCGCCGGACCACTGGGGCATGGCATCCTGATGTATGAGGAGTACTTGTGTGTCTTCGTGTTGTAAGCCAACATATTGTGTTTGTATAAGAGTAGGTCTGTCTTACAGCTGCAGTCCTATTACTAATTGTGTATTGAATGACTGAGGTCAGGGTCTTTTCTTTTTTTAATAAGAGAGCAGTTAATCCCCAGGTGGAGGAAAAGCTGAGGTCGCTGCATGTGTTGGAAGCCCTCCCAACATAGCTGCACTGCTGGAGAACAGCCCGATGAATCACACAGGCGAGAGCTGAACAATGAATCAGAGTTTTAAGGAAATATCAACTAGTACAATATACAAATAGCAGGGGAGCGGTAATTGTTTGCAAAATAAGTGTCAAAATACCAATCTGATGAATAGTATGGTGCTGCAGAGATGTCAAGAAATACAAATACTATTCTATGAAAAAAACTTTGTTTGGTAAAGACCCTTACATAAAATCACACAATGACAGGAATATATGATATGTTTTTATAATGTATGTTGGATTAACTGTCAAAAAATGTAATTCCTTCCAAAATGGTGAACCATATTGCAATTTTGGTCTAAAATGTGCAAAAGATGTGTTTTAAAAAATGTTGAGCACCAACACAGACATCTCTCATTCAAAACTCTTATGTGCTTTACAGTAATGAAGTACAGTTGTACAATGTTGACTTCCTGTTTCTCTGTCTCTATGTGCTCATTGGCTGTCTTTGTTGCCCTTTGTGGTTGCTCTCTTTGTTGTTTACCTCATAATCATATAGTTCTCCTGCAGCGACTACAGACGGGCACGAACAGATTGAGGAGAGGAAGAGGTTCGCTCTGCCCACAGAGACAGAGAATGGTTGCTATTTGTGCTGCAGTGTTGTGTGTGTGTGTGTGAGTGTGTGTGAGTGTGTGTGTGGTGTTCTGTAGGTTTATTTTGTGATTGTCTGGGGAATCTGATGATTATTATAGAAGCTCTTGCTTGTCCTGCTTCCAATTTGCAGATGGATTACATTCCACTCAAACGTTGTGTAGGTGTGTGTAAGATAAAAGGAGAGAGGAAAGAGGGATGGAAAGAGAGACAGTGTATGACCTGTGACAGAGGAAGAGAGAGAAAGATAAAAGTAGGGAGGAGAGGAGGATGAGACACACAGACACCTTTTGATTGTTAGGGCCTTTCACACACTTGAGCATACCTGCACTGCAGTACAGCCTCCTCACACTCACTAACGCAGGAGTGTGTGGGCTGGCAGGGAGAGATTTATGGTATGCTTCTTTTTTTGTAATATAAACTCTGAACACACACACAGGCTGGCAATATGAGGCCCCATTAGGCGTGATGACTTGGCTTTAAAGTAGGCCAAGGACCAGATGAAGGACACACACACTCTCACATCTTACACACACACTCATGCACAAACACATGCATGTATGCCTACACTGAGTCATATTCACACCCATCTTTAGTCTCTGAGGATTTTTTAAAACAGTAATCCTGTGAAATGAGCAGATTTGAGAATCTGTCATTTGTCGATCCTAATATCCCTCCTCTCCTCCATCCCTCTGTCGTCTCTCCCTTTCTGTTTTTTATTCCAAGGCTGGCAGAAAGTATTTAGTTAGGTTTGACCTTGAAGTGGGTGTGGAAGGATTAAGGGCGATTGATTTAAAGGAGACATGTCATGGCCATTTCCACTGATCATAATTCCATTGTTGAGGTCTACTAGAATAGATTCATACTGTGCATTTTTCCAAACTCACATTGGTTCCTCATACAGCATCTCTGTAAACTACTTGTATTCACTGAATTTCACTCTCTGCCTTTAACGGCTCGTTGTAGCTCCAAAAGCTCCAGCCCCCACCCTCCCTGTGAGCACAGTGTGCTCTGATTGGTCGGGACGTTGTGAATCGCGCTGAGCTCCGTGGAGGTGTTGTTTCCTTGTTTAGGATACATAGCGAAACACAGCCAAACTCATCCTGAGCACACACAAAGTCACAGCCGAAGTAAAAACAATAAGTGTGGCTTGATATTGAGTAAGAAAAAGGTTGATAAACGCTGTGAGAATGGGTCTGCAGAGAGAATTTTGCCGCGATCCCAACTGTCTGTTATCAGCCTGCAGCCAGGGAGGAGAAATCAGCTGAGCTGCCTGCTCCCTGCACACAGATGTGTGTGTGAGGAAGTCCGTGGATTGGTCAATTTGGACCAATCAGCGGGGGCTTAACGTAACGGCTCCGCGGACGTAACGTAGCGGCTCCACGGATTGGTCCATTTCGTTCCGGGTACGGCTTGACATCATGCCGTCCCGGAAGAATCAAATGGACAATGACGTATCTCCAACGAGGCGTTTTGGGGAGGTATTTTCTGTGTTAAGGCCCAGACACACCAGGCCGATATCGGCCGTCTTCGGTTGTCTGGCGATGAAGCGTGCCCTGTCGCCCAAAGTCACTTTGGTGTGTCCCGAACCCTCGGCCGTGACACGCCTTATTTGGCCTTTCACGGTCGACACCCGTCGGACACAAGCTATCGGGCCAAGAAACCACTCTGATCAGCTGTTCAGCTAGCAAATGAGAAGCGAAACGGAAGTGAGGGACGTAAACAAACGATTTAAGAAGGCACAGGACAGCAGCTAAACACCAGCAGGTGATACTTAAAGACATCAAACATAGCCCTTAAATATCCTCTCTTACCTCCCACACATAGCAGGGACATCTCTGATATCGGCGGGAGCGTCCCCGGCTGTCCTCTGCTGAGAGCTCCGTGATTTGTTTGGTCAAGTCCGGTTTTTCATCTCATCGGTTTATTTGTCAGTATAAAGTTGCAGGATTAGTCTCAAGTACCTCAACATTGTCCTTAAGTACAGTGTCTAAGTAAATGAGATACTGTCTACTGCTGTTCATTTACCTATTGTGAGTCGCCTCGGATAAAAGCATCACATGGAAATGTAAATTTAGCAAGAAGTGGCCATTATTACATTACTACATTGCTGACTCAATAAACTACACACCCGCCAGAACACTGCGATCATCAGATGCAGGTCTATTAACTGTGATTTTATAGTATGTCTGCACTTTATGTGCTCATTTCATCATTCATGTATTTTTATATTCTAAAACATGTTTTCGATGGACGAGAGTGAAAATGGAACGCACACGCTATTTGTTTGTTTATATCAGTCTGTTCTTCTTCTCTTTCTTCCGGTTGTTGCCTATTTTGAATGACGGATACACACTACTGCCGCCTGCTGGTAAGGAGAGTTATTGCCACTCACGCATGCGCAGTTCGTACGTCCTCGGCTGAAGTCTTTGTGGTGTGTTCCAGTGCGACACATGGCCAAGACGCAGGAGAACTCGCCGATGCAACAGTCGATGTCGGTGTCGGCGAGTTCTCTGGTGACTGCCTGGTGTGTCAGGGCCTTTAGAGTTGTACTAGCTATAGGGTGTACTTTGAGGGTTTTGACTCTGCACACCGTTTACATGCATAAAAACCTTCATAACACACAAGGGGACGGGTAATAACCGGAAAAGCATGACACCTCTCCTTTAACACAATGTAAAGAAAAACACAGCCAGGCTGGCAGTTTGTAAACGACTGAAAAGTTTCCAGAGTCCTCTCTTCATAAAGGTTGGATTGAAAGAGGATGATGCATTTCCACCAACACCGGGGAAGTGTTGATGTAACTGGAAACATGCCTGGTGACATTGTGACTCTGACTGTGTGATAGTGTGAGAGAGATAAGTGTTATTATTGTGCGAGCACAGCCAGGAAGTATGTTTGAGGCCGTTGACTGACAGTCTCTCTCTCTGGGCTTCCTGTGGTTGCTTTGGTGGTTTGGCAATCCGAGGTGCGATCGGAACAGTTTTGCTCTCTTTCTCGAGCTGTTTGACCACAACCCCCAATCCACATACTGTAACTGGAATGTTAAAGAGATAAATAAATACAAAGATCCTTCAGATTATTCCCTGGCTCAGATTCTCTGGTTTAAGATCACACGAGATGTGTTGCATTGCTGCCTTTACATGCATGCTGCTGTTTTACTGTTTATCCGCACTGAAACCATGTTTTTATTCTGTGTCTGTTTCTCTTTTGTTAAAGGAGCATGTTTGAGTGACGCGCAAAGGAGGAAGTGGGATCTCTGAAGCTCCGCCCCCTCTGCTGGTGGAGCACCCTGCACATCTGACCAGAGAGCCCGTTAGTCACTTGGACAGGTATGAGCATGAATGATGGGGGTCAAATATATTTTACAGTTGGCAAATGATCACAATGTATTTTTCCACAGACAAAGAACTGCAATACGGAAAAAATGACTTGCAGAAAAGACAGTTAATGTAATGTTTATTTCAGAAGTTTATCATTCAAGATAACCTGTCAGTCCACACTGTTATTCTGCTGGTTAACTCGTGCCCTCAACGCGTGCTGCTGCATCTCCCTCCACCACCTCAACCTTCTTCCGACAGCTTTTGGTTATGTTGATGTCGCTCAAGCATATTGTATAATATGTATGTTTATACCTATCTCTGAACTCGCAATACTATGGTTAATGTTGTATTATTCTGGGTATTACTTCTTTTAGCAGAGTCCAAACTGCTTTTCAGATTCAATAATAGCTTCCTTTACGAACAGCCTTTTCTGTTGCAGTGGGAGAAAACGCCTCGGGTCAATGTTCATTGAAGAGAGAGGTTTTTAATACACATTGTAATGTATTAGGATGTGGATGTTGTTTATTTTCCAAATCACAGATAGACTTGGTAGAGTGATTGTTAGTAATGTAGCTGTATTTTTTTTTATTAACATGGGACTAACAAACCAAATCCATAGTGAATAATGTAACTGTCTTGCTTGGGGTCACTGCAGATGCTTTCAGTTGTGGTTGTTAGACTAATCAGGCATGTTCTTTTCTTTATCCTTTACCTTTTACAGTAGAAAGTGTTATGTGTCTGGATACATAGAGTTGATATGTGTTGTGTGCATATGTGTTAAACTTTCAGCTATAATGAAGGAAATAGATATTCTGCTAACCTTTAACCCATCACTGCCTGCCATTATGCATGCACAATGAATATATTCAGGGTCATATTCCATCACCATACGCTTAGGAGCTTCCACTGGCGCAGGGTTGTATCCACCATCACTCTTTTGTTTAAAAAACAAATCTATTTGAACACTGCATCCTTTGCCTTAGCTTGCTTACAGAGGTGACACACGTGTGTCTCTTCCTGATGTGTGTGGTCGATGATGTGTTGCGGGCGTATATAAATGTACTACTTACTCCTTTGGGGTCACAAGTTTCTGAGTTTCTTTAATGACTGGTATGTTAATGCATGCTGAAATGTTATCTTCTGAACATGTTCCTTTCAAGTATTTCTCAGTAGAAATGGTACTCAACAATTCTCGAAGAACAAATAATTGTATGAAATATTGATTTCCAGATACTGTAATGAGATTCAGGGACATTGCTCTTATTTGCTCAGGGCGGCTGTACATGATTCAATCTGCCGCAAAATACTAGAAAGTAAAAGCACAGTAATGTTTTTTTACATATTCCAAATCTTTATGTTCAAAGAATCCAGGTAGACTGTAGACTGTAGAGGTTAATAGACAGGGAAGCCCCGCTGTGATGCAAGAGCCTCGTAAATCCGGCCTGCTTGACACACGTAGCGGTAGAAGTAACGCTGAGAGCAGCTGACACACAGCAGAGGCCAGACACACTAACCTACAGGTCAAACTGCTCAGACTGTAAGAATTGGGATTTGATCAGGGTGTGTTTGTGATTGTGGATGACCCTGTAAACACCAGTTGTTAATTATGTAAATAGTATTATTGTGACTTTTTTCTTCAACTGTGCCGATCAGTGTAAACAAAACCTCCACTCGGTATGATATGAGAGATGTTAAAAAAGCAATTAGAGCCCACTGGCGTCACACAGACCAAGAGGCACGATGCTGTGGTTTGTGTGTTCTTATATCCGTTGCAATGCCTGCCTGTGTGTCTTTGGTTTGCTGGGACTGAAGAGCCAGGCTGCTGCGCTTTCTCCAACCGTCAAGGGAACACCCCCTGTGACAATAATGTGTATTGATTTTGGCCGAAAATAAGCGAGTGATTGGAGATTGAAGTGTTTAATTCCACTTTGCTCCTGTGCCAAGCTTTGCATTGGTAATCTATTCCAGCTGGGACTTTTACGCTGCCATGGGCAGTTCTGTCTGCTTCACTCTTTGCCTTACACTGAGTTTTCTTTCTTTCTCCCTTCTGTCTGACCAATACTTGTTCTCTAGTGGTCCGCGAAGGCATTGCAAGTGGGCCGCCAAATAATTTGCAAAACATTATGATTTGTGTGGAAACATTTCATTATTAAGATTCTTTTTTATTTTCACCTCTTTTCCTGTTTCTTTCTTGATCCTCCTTAGCAACGGTCATTACAGTCCTTGACAGCGGTCTGTTCTACTGGATTAACAACATGTCACATGTTCTGAATTGACCAATCAGAATCGAGTATTCAACTAAACCTCGTAATAAAAATGTCTGTTTGTTACGGATGGCCAGCTCCTTTTCTAATTAAAATAAAAAGTACTCTGAGAACTTCATTTAGCCTCTTATGCTCTTTAGCATTTTATGGTTGAATGTGGGCCGCGAAAAAAATTTAGATTCTTAAGTGGGCCCTGAGTTGAAAAAGGTTGGGAACCGCTGCTTTAGACCATACATTATATCAGTTCATTATTGTTTGAAGAAGTTTTATTTTTCAATCAATATTTGCTTTTTTAACTATTTAAATATATATATATATATATAGTTTATATAGTAAATATAAAACTATTAGGAAACACGAATATCATGTTTAAATTGATCGCAAATTTCTTTTATTGTCTTTGTTCAGCATTTGTGATGCTGAACACATTTCTACACAAAGAGAAGAGTGCCTCAGATCTTGGCGCACTTAGGGGCTTCCTGCTTCTATGGCGTCTGACAGGTTTCAACTGGAGTGTCAAACTGTCAATCATATCGAACGGTAGTGGAGAAGGTAAACAAGCGTCAAAATGGTGTAGGAGCAAAGAGCATCGGAGCAACAAACTGAATCGAGTTGCCCTCCTTTACCGTCTCTGCTTCTTTCACCCTCTCTGCTTCAATTTCCTCTCCATTGTAGCTTTGTAGTCAGGTCCTTTTAAGACAAGATTGTGTTTGTAAAAGTGTAAACACTGTGATGCTGTTATCCTTGGATGCTCCATCCACAATGGCCTTGCTTGAAAAAGGAAGAGTGGCTTGAAGAATGCTAATTTACATCATCAATGTTTAGGAGGTAGCCCTAATATTCAAAGCCTGTCATGAGTCAAAGGAATTTATTTTACATATACATGCAGTTCCTGGCCATTCTCATTTTGTGATCAATACAATTTCCTATTACAGACTAAACTATTGCGCCATTCATAAAATAACTGTTTATGGTGTTTTCAGTGTGAAACTACCGTCTGCTCTTTTTCGCTAAAGGTTAAGTGTAAAAACTTGTATTACGAGATGAAATACATTGAATATAAAACCCTGGAGCACATCTTGTAAATGTACGAAGCAATACATAAATGTGAATTCAGTCACACATGGTAGATCTGCAGTACGAATGCATTCTATGAATATATCCTCAGGTGCCGTGGACACACTGTTTCTCTCTATCAACATTAGCAGGTCTCTCTCTCTCTCTCTCTCTCTCTCTCTCTCTCTCTCTCTCTCTCTCTCTCTCCTGCTTCATGGAGTCTCTGTTCTGCAGTAAAGGTTATGAACGGTAAATGAAGTGACCCCAACCTATTTGCCAGTAGCAGCAGTTTACATCAGCTACTCCATAGAGAGCCAGCAATGCGGGGCTTCAGGCGGCCTTGTTCTGTTTCGCTTCCCTAATATTAGCCTCGTCCTGCTCCAGTTGAACTGTTCTGAAAATCGCCACTCCCATCAGAGAGTTTATCAAGCCTACATTAGCAAAGGACAGCTACTTCAACAGCACCATCTCTAGTTTTCAGTTTTCTCACTGAATGTGCTTCAAAGAGCATTTTCACACACTTCTTTATGACGGAGAGAGTGGTTTGATTAAAAGGCATCTGGTTTCATAAAGAATAAACTAGGCTGTTCTGAGAGCAAGCAAATAAACAGTTTGTCGTTTATTATATGAATTAGCAGCGCAAACTTTGTGTTGATTAGTAACTCATAAATCCTCCTCTCTCATTGGCACTCCCTCATCTAAACACTATCTCTCCGCCCTCTTCATTTTCTGTTACACATATAAACATGAAAACCCCAGAAGGAGGCACCCCGCTCCAAGTCATAAATTGTGAAGCGAGTGAAGTCCTGGATCCTCTCGCTCCACAGTTTTTCCAAGTGGTTGTGAGAAACTTTGGTTGTGCAATCTCTAAAGAGGGATTAAGCCTGTGGAGGAGAGGAGAGGAGGGGATATGAAGAGAGACACAGGGAAGGATGTGAAGGGGGAAATTGTGTTCTTGTAGGGAAGTAGTGATGGCAACCGCTCTTGAAAGGAGACGACATCACTAAGAGACGAACAGGGGAGTGGGGGTGGGGTGGCTGAGAGAGAAAGAGCAAGGATGGAGAAATAAAAGAAAGATGGAGGGAACGTGATGTGTTAATGGATTAGGTAGAGATCGCGCAGATGGAGATTTGTGTGTCGTAGGGAGCCAGGCATTTTAAAAGAGACTTCAAAGAGACTAGCGCCTACATAAACTAAACTGGCACACACTCACACATGCAACACACACACACAGGAGCAGGGCCCGGGGCTGCAGTGAGCACAGAGGAGACCTAAGGTGTCCTCTGCCATGCCTGATTCGAAAAACAGTGACTGAAGAAGCACAGCTGAAACATGGCGGTTGAGAAGTGTGTTAAGTCAATGTACATGTTTATACATCTCCTCTGCTGCTGCTTGGAGCACTGCTGTCGACTTGTGTTACATCCGCTGTGATCAAATAGCATTCAGAGAAAGCAGTTGACATCTCTTGACAGCATTTTCACACGACTTTGTGAGCAAGAATATATGTGTGCTTTTCTGTGGCGGAGTGCCTCCATGTGAGCGTGTCTCGCTCCAGTGTGCTGTGATGTGTTTGGCATATGTGCCGAGCTCTGCCTGTGCGCCAGGAAAGGTGAAAAGGATCCAAGTTTCTGCTGTGATATCAGGTTTTATCATGTTTCTGCTGGAGGTCAAGCCGGGCCGGTACAAGCAGCGGTCAGACAAACTGAGAGGAGAGAGACTGTAGAGCAGAGACTGATTTCAGGCTTCCTGCTGATCCTGGAATTTCAAGAATTTTAGGAGGAGTGAGGCATACAGTGAGACAAGCAATTTGATTCTTTGAGGAAATCTGGGAGGATCTGTTACATTTCCAAACAGTTACTTAAAAGGAACATACTAGATAGGGTTTTTACCACATCTATGTTGTTATGTGTAAGGTTACAAATAATGACAAATGGAGATAACCTGGATATTGAACTTTGGCTTGCAAAAAAATACAGATACAGGTTGTATGACAAAGAAATAAGGTGAACAAACCAAGCTGTGTTAAGATACAGAATCGTACTATTGCACTCATCTGTCACAAATGTGGTGTCTCTACACTTACTGCTCACATAGTAACACCTTAGTGGGTGAACCATAACTGCAATCAATGGTGTGAACATGCCACTAAAACACACACACACACACACACACACACACACACACACACACACACACACACACACACAGGATGTTGTGTGAAAATCATCACACACGGTAAATTAGGTTCTTGTGAAACTAGGAATTAAAAGGTGACATTATTAGCTATACATTTACTTCATGAGGGGTGGGGGATTTGAAACTTTGTTAACATTTATCTTAACATTCCTAGATTTCATAAATTATACTTCTTTCTTATATTTCATTATACTTTCAGCCACACAAATTGCCATGCATTTGTGCAGTACGCACATATTTTAATTGTCAGTTATTGTGCTTTTTATTTTCTTGATTTATCCATTATTTAAAAAGAAAAAAACTTCACAAGCCCAACATGAGGTGCTGGAATTCCTTTGCCTGACCAAGTTCAATCCAAATCATAAAGATATTTGGGTTGTTCTCACATAACAAAAAGCAGCAAATTCTTAAAATAATAAAGCTGAAATCACGATCTGTTATTATTATTATTATTAGCGGATTATCTGTCCGTTAACTTGATAAGCTGATTGATTGTATAAGTGACAATAAAACTAAGTCTATTTGTTGGGCTGTATATGTATTTTACTTGTGTTTCATTAGACCATCCCAATCAATTTAAAACATGTTATATTTAAAGGTCCCCTATTATACTGTTTTTCATCAATATATGATAGGTCTCAGATATATACAAAACCTGTCTCTGAAGTGTTTTGCTCAAAATACCAAACAGATCATGCATCGTAGCATCCCATAATCCCCTCTGTTTCAGTCCTGTTTCAAAAGTGCTGATTCTCTGTCTGTTACTTCAGATGAAAATAAGGAGCCACTCCCCACGCCCCTCTGATACCCCTTTCACACCAACGGTGTTTCAGGGCCGGTTCGGAGCTGGTGCTTGAAAAGCACCGGGTTTTCCTGTTCACACCGCAGCGGAGCAGCGTCATAGCTCCGGAATCCGGTTCGTTTCGAGCACCAAAAAGTTGTCCGTCTAGAAGCAAGAACCGCATACGTCACGCTTACGTCGGAGGGGGGCGAGATTAACCTGAGCTAACACTTAAGGCGAGTACGGCAAATAAAAGTTGTAACAAGCAGTAGTGCTGAGCAAAGTGACTAGAACGCAACCACACACTTGTTAAAAAAAACACACTTTATAAAGTCAGGCAACACTAACCAGGCTTCGTGTGATTCTGTTTATTTGTACCTTACTTTGACCATCCGTTCGCTGTTATTGATCATTGTGGAGAGCAGGCAGACGTTTTGTTTGTTATTATAGCAGCTATCGGATGGAATCAATACATGGGCTGCACAGGTTGTCATGTCCGACTATCACAAGTAGAATCATAATGAAAAATACGTCGGTAAAAAGTGCCTGTAGAAAACTGCTTAGCAAGTAGTCAGTTTAGCTTCGGTTGCTATGCTAACATCACCCATGTTATACCAGAGAAACTTTCATAACAGCGTTGTGATGCCAAACAGCGTCAATTCAGACTGACACCAAACAGCGTCAATTCAGACTGACACACATTCACTTAAGGGGAACTGGGGATATGTATCAGCTGCTTGTGTGACAGTCAGACAGTGAATACTTTAGAGCCGTGTGAGCTAACCCGGAGCTAACGGGAGAATACACTCGTGGAAGAGCAGCCGGCCAGCACTGCAGCGGTCGGTAAATGCCGCTGAAACACATTAATAAACAATGAACCACGGCACTCTGGAGAAAAGTATAAGGTTGGAGAAGTCGTTATTTAATTTAATCTGGCTTCGTATGATTAAAAGCAACGCAGTCCCCGGCCCGTTGTTGTTGTGAGGTGAGCTCCGGCGTTGGGGAGAAACTCAGCGACGTAAACTGTGACGTCATGACGCAGCAGCGGCAGCACCAGTCGGGCTCTGAGCGGTGTGAAAAGAGCCGGCGCTAAACCGAAGAACCGGTTCTGAACCAGAAAAGCTCTAGCACGGAGCTTGAACCGGAGTTGCGTTGGTGTGAAAGGGGCATGAGAGATATTTGGTTAAAAAGAACACAATGGTGCTCTAGGAGGAGATTCACGTGATAAGGTGGGGGGGGGGTTACCTTGGTTGGTTATTGGCTAATGGTTACACAAGCCAAAACATCGTTATGACATCACAAATTGGCCAAAATCTGATCAGCTCATTTTCAGACAGGTTTTTATATAAATGGATCAGGACAAAAAGTCAGCTAATCTTTTTTCCTGAAACTTTCAGAATATCTTTACACAGAGGGGACACATGTTTATGTATAAAAGACATGAACAAGTGGATTTTGCATAATTGGTGATCTTTAAATCATATCGCGTTTCAGTGTCTCGATTGAGGCATCAGGAAAGCTGATATGAGGATGATAAAAAAGAAAATGCCACGGCCAAATGAATGGCTCTTTATGTGGATGCCAGGCCACTGAGATACTATTAAACCAAGGGTGACATTTAAAACATGATTTAATCTGCAGCTGTGTGAGTGCCAGTTTAAACTGATGTAACATGATGCTCTTTCATTAACCTTGTCAAAACCCTTGTTGCTGTAGCTGACTTGATTTGATTGAATTATCTCTTTTTCTCTGGGTACTTACAAGCAAAGCTTTTGACTTATCTACTGGTGGTATCTCTGCCCTATTTTTTTCTTTGTCAACTTGAGAGATAAAATCTTGCAAGGTTACAAAACTCCCGTGAGTTGCACGACAAGCCTCATGAGAACTATGAAATGATAAGTCTCGCGGTCAGCTCAGCATCCGTCAGCAGTAATTGGGTTTTTATCAAACTGCAGCAGTCTGCTTGACCTTTTCACAAATAGCGCTCGCTGTAATTGACTATTTGTTGCAGACCTCATCTCTCATTGCGAGTATATATTACAATTTGCATGGTTATATTGGCTATTCGTTGTTAGTATTGTTTTTTCCTAATTCATTTGTTATTTCTGCTTATAGACATGTCTTGCTATACATACATACATACATGCATACAAAATATATACTGCATAGCTTTAATCAGCTGTAACTGGTCACATGGCACAAACGTCTGAAAAAAAGAAAACTTTGAGAGAACTGCTGTGGGAGGCATTTTTGTGCAGCCAGAATCCTATCAGGTTGAATTTAGAAAATGCTGCTCTGCAGTTCTTCATCCTCAGTGGCCGCTATAAGCAAAGCTAAACAAAGCTAAACAAAGCTAAACAAAGCTAAGCTAAGCTAGCTATGCACAAACATTTGTTTTCCCTCCCAGGGGCACGAGAGAAATCACCGTGGCCAAATTAATGTTCTCCCTTCTGCTTGTGCCGGCAACCTGAGGGATCAGTGAGGCAGAGAATCAGCCAACGAGAGGAGACACGGTGTTGGAGGAGAGAGGGAAAGGGAGCAGAGGAATTTTAATGTGTCCTGTGTCTGTCTCTCCCTGCCAAAGAAAAGCAATTACTATCACAGCTCCTCTCTCACTGCTCTGTGTGTGTGTTCTTACCTGTGAGTGTTTCCGACTGCTCTTTAGCACATAAGGATTTGGTATGTTACACGCATAAAGGGAAGATTGGCTTGTACTCTGCAGGGTGTTTAGGAAATCTGACACAGAAGATGTCTGTTTCCGCTGTGTAACTTAGCCTTCAAATCAGCTGAAGCTGAAGCTTTGCTAAGACATCATAAAACATCCTGTCCAAAACACACATATCTATGTTCACTGTGCTTATAATGGTGACAAACGCCAACCTAAACGTTACAAATGTGCATGTCGATTTACTGTTTTTTATCTGGAGTGAAACAGAAATTCAGCAAGTGCTCATTTTGACAGCCAAAAGATAAGAGACAGACAGACAGACAGACAGACAGACAGACAGGGATGCAGACAGACAGACAGACAGGGATGCAGACAGACAGACAGACAGACAGACAGGGATGCAGACAGACAGGGATGCAGGGATGCAGGGATGGGAGGAAGTGGGGAGATATGAGTAAAAAATATGTGTGATCTCCTCTGCAGAGCTTTCCTCAAGACTGTGATTGTGTGAACCATCACTCCTCACCTCAGCCAGAGCTTTAAACATCTCTCTCTTCCACTTCTGTCTCATGTCTTTATTAGGATGCGGAGGTTCGCCTACTGCAAGGTGATTTTGGCCACCTCTCTGGTGTGGGTGATGCTGGACATGTTCATTCTGCTCTACTTCAGCGAGTGCAACAAGTGCGATGACAAAAAGGAGAGAGGGCTGCCCGGGAGACAAGGTGAGTGAATATTGCCGTGCATATTAACTGTGATCAATGAGACACACTCTGTCATCTGCCTGTGTTTAATGTGTGTGTTTCTGCTGCAGATACCCTGACCAGGCCGCGGGACGGGCCCGGTGAAGGGGGGAAGCCGGTGGTGATCCCGAAGGACAACCAGGAGAAGATGAAGGAGATGTTCAAGATCAACCAGTTCAACCTCATGGCCTCGGAGATGATTGCTCTCAATCGGTCACTGCCTGACGTCCGCCTGGAGGGGTGAGCAGCCTCCCTGCAGCTAATCATCTGTCCTGTCACTTTCTCTTATTCCACTCATTAAGCTCCACTCAAAATGGCTTTCACTGGTATCCACTGTTGGAATATTGCACACTGGTGATGCGTTATAAACCGCAAGCCAGACGTCTGGCCAGAACGCTGCACAATCAGTCACTCTGTGAGCCACAGTTGTTCTGTAAAGGTTAATCAGGATTAACAACAAAGGGCGGAACAGCAGATGTGTAGAGGCCTAAGTCAGGGTAGATAGGATAACCTCGACAAAAACTATAATTACCTTTTTTCGTTTTTTTTAAGTGTTTTATTAAAGGTGGGGTAGGTACGTTTGAGAAACCGGCTCGAGATACACTTGTTGTTATATTCCATGGAATGCTCTTAACATCCCGATAACAATGAATATCTTAAGTGCTTTGACAAAAAATTCATAAAAAAATGTCATCTGTGGAAGCCGTAGTACTGTAAAAAGCACGACCAATCATTTTAGCCGGCCCGGCTAAAATAACTGGATGGCCTACCTGCCTGTCAGCCTTCCATCGGGGCACAAACTTATCTCGTGCCCTCATTGGTCATGTGCGCGTTCGTGTGTGTTGGAGGAGGGGCTCTGTAAGGAAGTGGCAGATTTTTTTCCGGTTGTGTATTTTCAAATTCTAGCGATCTCGAGCTGGTTTCTCCAAAATTACCTACCCCACCTTTAAAGGGCATATTAGGTATAATATAATGAAATACAATATCGAGCAATTCAGACAAAATGACAATAAATGATGACATTACAGTAGAAACACAGCAAATATTTCTAATTATATATAAGATAAAGTAAAGAGTGTGCTTTTACAAAGGGATTAAAACGATAAAACACAGACGGCGAATTAGAAAGGGTGTGGTGGCCTGACAGCTTCCATGGGCATATGAACTTCCTAGAAAGTGTCCAAACTGCATACCATAAAGTGATCGTACACATTATGTGCTCAAAATGAGTCTTTGTTAGTTAACTGCAACTCCTTTGGGCTGGTGTGAAAGCTGTCGATTTAACCCTGCTGAGAACTTAATAACATCGCTGAAAGGACCAAGGTCTGAGAAACGAGCAAACTCTGTTGCGGTTTGTTTGTGATCTGAAAGCAAATGGAAAAAAAGCAAAACTGCTGTTGAACCATCTGCTCATCGTGAACTGTACAGGAAGCAAGCCTGCATTAGCAATGTGCAAATGTATGTAAATCAGCTATGAATGTAGCACGAGTGGGATTTCCCTGATCAAAACTGTCAAAATCAGTTCAAACCGTTCTGTTTGTGTTCTGTTTACTTCGCCAGTTTATGAATACAAAAGCTGTAGTCATCTCTCTCTGTAGTATTGCTGTTAAGCCTCTTTTGCAGTATATAATCAGTATGAAGGCGCATACTGTATTTCTTTGTGAGCTCCTTGTGACACAGGAGAAAATAAAGTAACACATCAAGAGTATCAGAGTGCAGCATGCCGAGTCACTGGCTTGGGATTTCCCCAACGCGGCTTCATGTTACACCGATGACCCAGATCATGACAGCGGCCAAAACTCTCCATGAATGAGATTCCCATCAGTCTCTATAACTTACCTATGGCTTTTGGTTTGTTTTCAGAAAATCCAGTGCGAACAGGAAAAGGGCCAGAACTCATTTGCAACAATATATCGTCCCTTTATCTTGTCTGGACCAAACTACAGATGCGCCGTCAGTATGCAAAGAGACACATTGTCACGTACATTGAACACAGTGCAGACTCAAAACCAGTTAGAATTAGTACAAGTTGTGCCAATGGGACAGTGTTATTACGTGGTGACCTGGTGCTGCATTAGCTAAAAGGTCCAACCAATACATTAATGACATATTTTTCAATAATTCCCCATTTCATCCTGTCCTATAAAATAAAAATGCCTTTCTCTCCACGACTAATAGCCCATTAGTTCACCCAAAAGATTGATCCCACATTGTCCTGTTTCAAAAGGAAATACATCACATTAAGGAGGTAATGATGCCATTTCACGCTGCCCCGTTTTATATTTCACTTCAATAATACTAGGTTATATGTGCAATTTGGAAGTCCTTCTTCTCTATAAAGAGGAGTTTAGTGTCACTTAAGTGTCTGCCAGTGCCAGTTGCTGCAGGTTGTTCAGTCATCAGACAGGTGTGCATCCGACCTGCAGCTTAGAAGATATGTCGAGGTTAGTTCAAACAGATGGAAACCAGCCCGGCCTCCCCTCTGCCCCTTCATGCCATCAGTAGAGGAACATGCATGGATCAGTAATCAAGGTTTTCAGAGCAATCGGCAGAAAGACTGACTGACAGACACGAGACTGACAGGCGGGGGCATATGCACACAAGACAGGCGGGAAAGAAAGGGGACATTGATCCGTGAAATGGGTTTTAGTCTTTGAGCGAGGGTTGATTACTAGGTGTGTTTTCACTCAGCCTTCTCTCCGTCTATCTGCTTTTCCAATTAGGAGATAAGGCCGAGTCAATATCAAGCACGGCAATGTGTTTGTGTGTGTAGGTAGGCACGAGTGCGATGGTGTTTGTTTGTGCCAGTGTGGTGTGTGTGAGTGTGGTGTGTGTGGATCAGAAGGTTTAGGGAAACTGCGTGAATGAATTCATCGTTGTCATGCCGGTCACCATTAGCCCAAACTTTGAAGTGGAAACTCCCTGATGTTTTTTTTCCTTATACTCAGCAGTGCAGTCATTGAGTGTAAACAAAACAGGAGAGGACAAGACATTACAGTGAAGTGTGTATGTGTGTGTGTGTGTGTCTCTGTGTGTGTGTGTGTGTGTACATACATGTGGTTGGGTGGAGCTGCAATATATGACACTACGTAACACTTTCCGTGACCACACCTTTCAGACAACTTGGCATTTTCTCCTTTTTTAGACCCTAACTGCAGCATTTTTATGAGAATGCATTATATACATGTATGGCTGTGTATATGTGAGTTAAATTAGTCAAATTTGCAAAAGCAGTAAAATCCTAACCTGTCTGCCTGCCCATTGTGACTTTTCCCACAATCCACCGGCTGGAGAAACAGTCTGTAACTCATTACCCGTGCTTTGCCGTTGCCAAATGTTGCTCCACTTACTCTTTGGATCCACTGGACTCACAACCACTCCTCAGTTGTTCAAATCCACATCATGTGACACTATGTGTTGTCCATCATCTGTCAACACATGTTGTTTTGTTGGAGTTACAGAGGGTTTTATGCCATCAGCTGCACAGTTACAATCATGTCTGAGAAGTGAACAGTCTTAGTTGTTGTTTGTGTTTCTGAGAGCAGAACAAATAATGAACCGCTGTGTATTAAAGTTAAGAGGGTGTTTTTACAGTTAATCATGTTGTGCCATCATCAATTTTCCTTTTATGCAGTGAGTATGGGCAACCGCAGACTGAGAATCTGTGTGCGTGTGTTTTTTAACAAGCTCCGGAGGCAGCTGCAGGATAGAGTGTATTATTGACCTTCTCTCCTCTGTCGCTCTTACATTCCTCCTGTCAGGATCAGCGGTGGAGAGAGGAAGCATTCCAGCGCTCTGGATGATCGCGGGGAGGGGGGGGGGGTTATGACGAGGGATCATTTTCCATTTGGTTTTCTGAGAGTTAAATCTGATAGAGTTTGGAAATCATAAGCTGGTTTTAGCAGTTTGAGCAGTTCACTATTGACAAAAACGCGTAAATCATGTGCTGGACAGTGAATGAGACACAGTGTGCCTGCAGGTATCATGGCTTCCTGCAGAGTGTCTGGACCTACAGCCGTGTGCCTCTGTGTCTGTCTCTCTCTTTTTTTATTGTTGGAGAGTAACATTTAACATATTTTCTGCCATCTGCAGTGCTAATCAATCAATCTGTTTCCTGTGTATTGTTTACAATGAGCATTCTTTCAAAGCTGTTTCCTAGAAAATGCACTGTTTATTTTGGTCAGTGAGAAGATTATGACAGACTTGTATTTCTTCGACAATGTGGACATGATGGACAAACCATTGTAAAGCTTTTGCAAAACGGTATTTTAATTGTAATTTCTTTGCGACACATAGTTTATTCAGAGACATCTTTTATGAGAAAATAACGCAGTGTCATTTTCATTTCATTTAAACGTTTATTTGAACCGGGACAATGCACATTGATGAACACTTTAAACAAAATAATGCTTTCATGAGCCGGATTTTTAGCTTTGAGCTCATTTCCATCCGTAGTCCCGTCACATACAACATTTATGAACATGGCAGTTATATACATGGCAAAAATAAATACATGATATGCAGAAAGAGCATGAGCAGCATACAAGCATTAACCACAGCCGAAATAAAACTGCCTCAAATGTCATCAATCACTCTTGCAGGGAACCCGCAAGATGCTCTTTCTTGCAACCCCAAACTGTTTTATTGGCCAAAGTAATGAATGTGTTTATACGCTGCAATATGGCTTCAATCTTCTGTTACTGTATACCACGTATAATGAAAGTATCGTAAAATACAGCAGGAGACTTTTATGGAAATTCATGTGAGAATACTTTTATAGATAGCCAGGTGGGAATGTGTGCTGCTTTACCACTAAACAATAAAAAAAACTTCTGTAAGGGTTCAATGTGTTAGACGAGCAACCTCAAGCTAGTTTCTCTGCAAACTGATTTTAATACTCAAGTAGAAAAACTCCTCCCATGGCGGCCTGGGAGATACAAGATAAATATTAAATCCATAATTCTGCTTAGGGATGTTGTCAGGGGTTACATAAACAAGTCAACCTTTGTACTTAATGACGTAAACAATGCAAACCTCAGGGAATATTGTCGAGAAGGATTAAAAATAAGTCACTGACACTAGTTCCTATCTTTCCATGCCTCCTCTGTTAGACATGTACTTCCCTGTGTGTCTCAATCAGACAGTGTGATGTGTGTGTGCTCTGATAATGACTCAGTCTCTAATTAGCATCACTAATCAACTGTCACCACGCTGACCCAATATTTCTGTGTATCCATCTTTATCCGTCTAAATTTGGGAATATACGCTCGGCTGCTCGCTCATTATAATCTGTTTTCAGCGTTTGAAGTCCATAAAATATGCTTTTTCACGAGGCCATAAACAATGATCTGATGAATGTAGTGATTCCATGACTGACTAATGCGATAGAGTTGATGTTTGAGTCCCAGTTATTTGACTCTTGTTCAGCTCTCCTTTGTGTGGACTCACTTCAGCTGCAGCTCTTTGTAGCAGTCTCTTACGATTAGACAGAGGCTAGATTGTGATGTCTCTACCAGTGTTTTTCTCTTCTCTCGCTCTGTCTCTGTCAGCTCAGTTTTGTCTGTGTTCAAACAACTTCTTGCACATGTGGTTTCCTTTTATATAACATGTCTGTGTGTGTTCGATGCAATTCTCACACTTCCTCTTATTGTTTCTCTAGTGATTTGCGTGTTGTCTGTTCAGTCCTGAAGTGATTTCCATATTTGTAGTTGTCACTCAACATCAGAGTTTAAAATAAAATGTATTCTGATGTTTTGTTTTCTCTTTGTAGGTGCAAGAACAAGCTATACCCCGATAATCTTCCTCGTACCAGCGTGGTGATTGTATTTCACAACGAGGCGTGGAGCACACTGCTGCGCACCGTCCACTCCGTCATCGACCGCTCTCCACACACTCTGCTGGAGGAGATTGTCCTGGTGGACGATGCCAGCGAGAGAGGTATAAACACACACACACACACACACACACACACACACACACACACACACACACACACACACACACACACACACACACACACACACACACTCACACTCACAGAGACACTGCACATCATTCCTTCAGTGCCTCTGCTCCTTGTTCGAGGCTTAACCTATTTTTTTCAGAGCTACTGTATGACTTTGCCGGGCTAGTGTATGTGTGTGTAGCTGTGTTTGTGCACGTGTGTGTGTGTGTGTCTTTGCTGATGCCCAACAGCCCGTCAGCATATATGGCCTGTGTGTGCCACTCCACCCTGTGCAATGCTGCTAATCCCTGTTTGGGGGAGATTAGGTCTTTAATTCGCCAGCCGCAGGGATTACACTCTGTTATTACCCTCAATCTCCCCCCCCCCCCATCCGCCACCCTGCAGCACCATGTCACCCTACGGGACCTCGAGGTGCAAATCAGAGGGCGTGGGTGTTTCTGTGGGGGGGGGGATCTCTCAGCAGGTAGAGGGATTGCAGGCATGCTATGACGCATTCACAGATACAAAAACACACACACTTCCCTTTGATCTGTGTTGCTACAAGAGGAATAGTTTAGAGGAGTGGCTTAAAATCCATCTCCTGGTTTGTGAGGCAAGTCGTTTTAAGGCTTTGTTTATAATGCTGACATTCAGTTTATTAATAAAATGTGAATCCCTCACAGCGTTTTTTGTCTATTGATTGTGTTTCAACCTTTTATTTTTGCACATAAATATTGAGCTACACTCCTTTCATCGTTATTTGTAGGAGTAGATTTACTGTAAGTAGCTGAGTGAGATTGTTTCCGACTTGTTTTATGAAAAAAAAAGTCTAAAAGTCCAATTGTTGCAATCTTTTTCAAAATGAACAACATGTTTCTATCAAAATATTCAGATTAAATCCTGTTTTGTTGGCATTTATAAACAAGGTTTCCTGCGTTTGTAAAACTGGTTGCGTTCCCAATGCCTTCCACTATTTCAAGCACCCACTGACAAGTTATAAAAAAATACTAATTAAATTAAAATACATTTTTAATCAAAGATTTTATGATTTATTGTTTGCAAGAAGGACATTCAAAGCTTTATTGGAAACGACAATAGTAGCTTTGAATGTAATAACATTAATATATCTACATTTGATATATTTTGACAATTGGTACAGCCCTAGCTGAGTTTGTCTTGTTTGCTTACGTGTGTTTATTTCATTATTCTATTACATAAATGTGTTTGTTTGTATATTTTAAGATTTCCTGAAGCGGCCCTTGGAGCAGTACGTCAGGAGGCTGGAAGTCCCGGTCAGAGTGGTGAGGATGGAGCAGCGGTCTGGTCTTATTCGCGCTCGTCTTAAGGGAGCGTCGCTCTCCACGGGCCAGGTGTGTGTGCTCATGCACATATGTGACTTCCATACCCAGAGATCTGCTCACCATATGGTGTGTGCACCACTCAGTTTGTCTAATGTTTTCTCTCCATGTTTCTAGGTCATAACCTTCCTGGATGCTCATTGTGAATGCACAACAGGGTGGCTGGAGCCTCTGCTCGCCCGCATCAAGCAAGACAAGTAAGAGACATACACACACACATCCACATACACACACACACACACACACACACACACACACACACACACACACACACACACACACACACACACAACACACACACAACTCTGACTACCTCAAATAAATCAATAAACTTTTGTTGAGCCTGCAGGGGGCTTGTCCCGGTGATTATTTCATTCTTAATGACTTATTCTTGGTTTACTGCTTTAGGTGCTCAAATAAACACACACACACAAACACACACACACACACACACACACACACACACACACACACACACACACACACACCAGAGTTCCCGTTAGAATATTTTTTTGCCGGTCAACATGTCCGTTAAAGTTGAAATCTTCCGGACAAAATTAGATAAGTGCCGGTTAAAGGTCTTCTTTGTTATTTATTGAGCTTTAAAACAAATTGATATGATTCGACATTAAACAAACTAATTATAGTAGATTAACTACATTATTCAAAAGTGTACAGTAATTTACAAAAACGCGGGAATAATAAACGGAGCGCTCTCTCCTTCTCCTGACAGCCCGTCAGTATCATGCAGCTCGCGGATCCAGTAATGAGTGACCCGACAGTAAAACTAAACATATCTATAACTAGTTTAGGTAGTTTGAGAGGTAATTAAAATAGCTACGTGTGATTTTCTAACCTGAAGTGTGTTTTGCTCTGCTCGCCGCTGCAGGGGATCATGCAGAGCTGCGTGTCGACTCGTCAGCAGCAGCCGATCTCTCTCTCCTGTCAGATTAGACTTTACTCGCATTTATGTCCATATCGATCAGATCTAGCTAGTTCTAGCTAATGATATGACTACCTGCTTGTTAAAAGACACCTAAACAATAAGCGTCGCTATGCAACCGGATGAGGCCACAAAGTATAGCGCAGCATTATGCATTTGTTTACATGCCCACCGGAACCCCGAGGCATTACCAACAGATCAACGCACAATCAACCCATACAGGACATCTCTTTCTCCACATTAAGTGTTAGACATTAGAATTGACAATTTTTGTCTGTCACATACTCTTTTGTCTGTCACATACTATTCTTGTCTGTCACATAAGTGGCGCAACTGATGCGGTATTGCGCTAAGGGAAAATTATTTTGACCGGACATTTTGACCGGAGAGATTTAGATTTGCCGGACTTCAGCATATTTTACCGGTCATTGTCCGGTAATTACCGGCTAACGGGAACTCTGACACACACACACACACACACACACACACACACACACAGGGTTTACTCGTGATTGATGACTACCTGAGTGATGGACAGCAGGCTGATGAATGTGCCATGTTGATGTTTGTCGTAGGAGTACGGTGGTGTGCCCCATCATCGATGTGATCAGTGATGACACGTTCGAGTACATGGCGGGATCCGACATGACGTACGGGGGCTTCAACTGGAAGCTCAACTTCCGCTGGTACCCTGTACCGCAGAGAGAGATGGACCGCCGCAAAGGAGACCGCACGCTGCCCGTCAGGTGGGTGATACTGCGGGAGGATCCGGGGTGGGCCTCGCCTTTTTGAGGAATCTTTGAAACGTCCTTTAAATCCCCAGCAGCCCCAGGGTGATGTTGTGCAGCTGACCCTCACCCTTCCCTGTGTGGTTAAGTGAGAAGAGAATGTGCCTACAGGGACAAGATTGAATCATTAGTAAAGTACCACATGATCATTCACACTAACTCTGTCAGTCAGCTGTTTAAAATAACTTGTAGCCTGAGAGCGTGAGCGTTGCTGAAAGGCATTCACAATTGATTTGCACTGAGCAATCAGACTCTACCACAGTTCATAATCTTAAAACGTTCTCTAGGCAGAAACACTCACGGAATAGATTGAACTTTCCTCTGTGGCTTAAGTCAAGATGCTTATGTTATGTAAGACTCTGTGTAGCTTGTTTTTTGCTATCATTTCTCACGGCTCAGAGCTTATTCCTGCCTGTCTATCATCTCTTCTTCCTGCTCTTGTTTCTAAGCTCGCTTTACGGCATTATTCAAGGTCACACGCATAATATGTCTTATGTAACGCTCTGTGCGGCTGTTAGGCATGACAACATTTTCCTAAGGGTGTTTTGGAGACAGCCTAAAAAACAAATATGGTTTGTAGGATCAGGGTTGGAAATGATGATGAAGTGCTTAAGACTAATAACATGATTTACATAAGCCATGTCCTGTTATGAAATCTTTCTATATTATAGAGAAGATTTTAAACACGAATTCTGAATGAAGCCGGTTTATAAGGTTTCAGTTAGCACCATTATAGTTCATGTAGTGCAGAATTAGCATGTGGGAAATGAGTCGGTAAAATGGAATCAGTCAGAAAAGAGTAACAGATTCTCACGTCTGCATTTGGTGTAAAAATAGCTGCTAATTCAACATCCTTTTGTTCATTATGTATTGCATGACAAGCTACAGGCCTGCTGCCATTACACTGATGAGATTCATTCAGTCACGCAGAGGAAGAAACCTTAACAGCTGAACTGGTTATTATGGGCTCGTCTACCTTGTAATTTACAGTACTGTGCAAAAGTCTGAGGTCATTTGGAAAGTTTTCCTTTTAAGCTAGAGGAGAAAAAAGAGAATCCAAGATTTAAAGAAGACGTATAAAAAGTCCTCTGAACACACAGAATGACCTTGTGTCGACTGAGCTGTTATTTCAGACCGAAAGCTGAGAAAAGTTTAAATTCTTAGTAGAAAATACTGCGCTGTATTTACAGTTGTTGGTTTTATTGTAGCATGTTTGTGTTTATTTCAATGTCACAGTGTGAAATAAACACATTTTTGACGTCTCTTTTTAGGTCACTGTTTAGAGGAATGTCTTTAATAAGAAATGTTAAGCTAAGGGTTTAGAGAGCTTCAAGTAAAACGAAAAGCACACATTTCTATTATTGTGGTTTATTATTTATATAAATAAATGGTTTATATTATTTATAGTTGTTAAACAACATCTGTGTGTGTTGTTCATGGGCTTGTGTTTTTGTTTCTTATTATTTCCTACTTCCAGCCGAACGCTTTACCCTCTGTGCACTCAGGATATGTCTCATCTGTGTGGCCGCTAGTATGCGATGTATTATGTGTTGGAAAGGGAACTTGGATGTATAATGAAAGCAAAACAGGCAGTTAAGAAAATAAGCATGATATAAAAAGAAGGAAACCATTCTTTTAGTGGGAAGTATAGGGTAGAGCCTCGAGTCTATTTCACACTCACACACAACAGGGAGGTGAGCAAAAACAGGAAAACAGCAAAAAACAGGGAGCGCAGCGTAAAGTAAAACCCTGATGGGATCCGAAGAGACCCTGTGACCTCTTAAAAATCAGGCCTTCAGTGAATTAAGTGCCATTAACCCACCTTGCTCTCAATTTACACGCCGGTCTCCTTTCTTTCCAGGACCCCCACCATGGCAGGCGGCTTGTTCTCCATAGACAGAGATTATTTCCAGGAGATCGGCACTTATGACGCGGGCATGGACATCTGGGGAGGAGAAAACCTGGAAATCTCTTTCAGAGTGAGTGAGCACACTCGCAGCCAACTCACATGACTGTATTCTTCCATGCACTGGCAGTCATTCAGGAGTGTCTGAAACACACACATTCACATTACACTGACTTCTCGGACTAAATTGTTGACTTAGCTAATACTCTGTCAGGCGTCAACATGACAAACGTATTCAGACTGTCACAACTCAGACCTCTCCCAGCGGAGGCCTCACAGTGTGGTTATTCTACATACTCCATGTGTGTGTTAATGCCAAATCTGTTGTGTTTCACAGATTTGGCAGTGCGGTGGGACTCTAGAGATTGTCACATGCTCTCACGTGGGCCATGTGTTCAGAAAGGCAACTCCCTACACGTTTCCTGGAGGAACGGGACAGATCATCAACAAAAACAACCGACGCCTGGCAGAAGTCTGGATGGATGAATTTAAAAACTTCTTCTACATCATCTCCCCCGGTGAGTGAGTGTGTGTGTGTGTGTGTGTGTGTGTGTGTGTGTGAGCGCTAATGAAAGTAGGCATGCATGTGCTCATGTGTGGAGTGTAATCTCTGTAGCAGGTGTGATCTTTCCATTAACCCGGTGACGGTGCGATATTGCAGCGGTTGCAGCGGGATGGGGGGGCGGCGAGTAATTTCACGCTCGAAGCATCTATTGACACACACACACACACACACACACACACACACACACACACACACACACACACACACACACACACACACACACACACACACACACACACACACACACACACACACAGACACACAAGCTGGCAAAGGAGACGCAGCCAAAAGTAAAGCAAAAGACACTCAATAGAGAATATTTTTAGAGGTTAAGCACCTTTTAAAAACTTGCTTGGAACACACTCAATGATTCCATTATTGTTTAGCAGGAAGCACGCTCTCGTCGGAGCTGTAATGGTATTGTTCAGAGTCGGCCAAAACTGCTCGGTTCACAATAAAGAAAAGTAACAGCAGCTGATATTTTAATGTGGCCCCCTGCAGGCTGGGAAAGTAATTGATGCTGCAATGTTAACACTTACCCACCTGCATGCTGTGACTCTTAACAGCTGAGGCCTGATAGACAGAGTGAACAATAATTTTGTTTTGAAGTCATTTCCAGTGTTCATGTAAGTCTTTTCAGTTTTGGGAGGGGTCTTTTTTTGCCATTAGCAGTCTGATATGATGGACACCTTAGTTCCTACAAAGTCAATAACAGTCCACACCGAAGACGTTAATGGTAGCCATGCCCAGAGCACTCACAACGATGTCAATCGAGGATGCTGCCTTAAAGATGATTCATGTCACTCACAGCAACCTGTACAGGCTGTTACTATTTCTGAGCCTTATTTCTGCTGCAGATGTCTGGCTCGGTCGCAGTTAGATGTTTCTCCCTTTCTTAATGCTGTCTGCTAGGCTCTGGTTAGCTCTGGTGGTTTCCCAGCAGGGGAATCAACACTAGACGGTTATGATTCATTGAAGAAAAACGGAAATGCGGACATTTCAGAGATCTGTAACCAGGCTGTGCTGCATGTTAGGCTAGAGGGATGTTTCCAGCTCTTCGGGAGAACTTTGATAGCATTTTCACTGGCTAGTCCGACCAAACACAGCCTATAACAATGTGCAGCGAGGATACTTCACACTCATCAGAGAGGGATCTGACCAGAATACTCAGGGCCGCTACCCCAACACAAGCTATTTAGTATATATTGTTTAGAACCACACATAACTACTGGCAACAAAGTGAAGTAGCCTGCAGGACTGGTTCAAATGTTTGGACACTTTTATAAAAACAACATGTTTTTGGGACTTCTTTTGTAATTGTCATGAAACCAAACAGACTGCAGCTCCTGCCCTCTGCCAGGAAGCAAGCTCCACCTAGTCTATAGAGATTTCATATTCATGTGTCACTGTAACAATAGCCCTTTTGGAGCTTTTTGAAAGGACATAAAAACTTTTTGCGTCTGGGTGTTTCAAATCAATGTGTGGCCTCATTGTACTTTACCAATTAAGTCCTTCAATAATCCTTACATGGTAACATTGATTGAACCGCCAGTCAGCAGACATTATGAAGGTAGTTTAGTGCCATAGAGGCTAACCTTTACTGTCTGTTTGTGTGTGTGTGTCCAGGTGTGACCAAAGTGGACTACGGTGACATCACGTCTCGCACGGGTCTGAGACAAAAGCTCCAATGTAAACCCTTCAGCTGGTACCTGGAGAACGTCTACCCCGACTCTCAGATCCCCAGACACTATTACTCCTTGGGAGAGGTAACTCATTCAGACAGAGATGCATCTGTGACTCACTGCCTATTAGCTCACATCCAAGCAGACACAATGAATCTGAATCTGTTTGAATTAGAGGTGTGGCTCAATAATATTTTTTTTTCTATGTGTGCTCTGCTCAGATCCGTAATGTGGAGACCAACCAGTGCCTGGACAACATGGCCCGCAAGGAGAATGAGAAAGTCGGCATTTTCAACTGCCACGGCATGGGAGGCAACCAGGTATCTTGAGGAAGAAAGAAACATACTGACACAAAACAAGGATTTGATTCATATTCCAACCCTTCAAATATGGTTCTTAGCTTTGGGTACTGACAGAAAGGATGAAATGTATTTATTAGGATAAACCCCTTGAAATGCACCATCTCGTTTTCAAGGGGGTCCTGACAAAAGCAACGTCTTACAGACATACATGAACAAAATAACAGAAAGCAAAACATGACAAACAAGGACAAACCACGTACAGTCTGTTAAGTAAAATTCATGAAGTAACACATAAAATCATTACAATTTGATAGACAGTAGTGTCTAATAGATCAGTTTCATCAATAACAAGAGCAGACCAGCTGAGAGTGAGATGATAGTGCATGCTTAAACATACCCAATGATGCAAGGGATCTAATAGTAGCAGGTAAAGTATTCCAGTCTGTTGGGGCTTTAGTAATGTAGTAGTGTTTTTAAACTTCTGTTTGTTATGTGCAGGTTTTCTCTTACACGGCCAATAAGGAGATCAGGACAGACGACTTGTGTCTCGACGTGTCCAAACTAAACGGACCCGTCATGATGCTCAAGTGCCATCACCTCAAAGGCAACCAGCTCTGGGACTACGACTCCGTGGTGAGTGGGAGAATCTGTGAACATACAAGGTGTATGTGAGGACATTGTGAATACAGATTTACTGGTACAGTAAATGTACAAATATGAACACAAACACAGAGGGTTTTTCATGCAGGTCTTGAAAGGTACATAGACTTTGGTTTCTGTTCTGCAGACTAGACAGGTGATATAGTATGGAGTCTTATCATTGTTGTGTTTCGTATGAAAAACAACGATAACACTGGGGAAATTAAAACAGTAAAGCAGACAAAATGATTTTCATCTCAATGTTATGTCCCCACACATACAAACTACACTTTGGATACACTCATCACTGTAGTTTACAACAAGCAATATCCTCATGCAGAAGCACTGTTCAAAAAAAGACCTATATTACCCATAATATACAGGGAAGAGAACGATTGATGGGAAAAATACGCAAATAAGATGCTGATTATCTAACAAACTAAGTAACGGAATTGTTTACACCTTAATTTTTTTTTAACTGCTTTCAACTGTTTCTTTATAAATAAAAAGGGACACAGAGGATTTCACAGATATTTTCAAAAACTGAAACAGTTTGTTCCCAGAGTAAACACAGTGTGACGCCATAACTGTCATTTCAGTTGGTGGAATATTTATTGCTGTCAGATTTAGGGTGATTATAAATCCTAGTTTTCACATTACACAACTCAAACCACAGCATGCCTCTCACTGAGAAAAACATCAAAACTAAATTGCGCCTCAAAATTAAAGTCATAAAAAAAGAAAAAAATTAGACACCCTGCCTCCAGATTGGTATTTATTAACATGCCCTTGGGAATTCCAATCATTAAATCAAAAGCATGATTTTTGCCCTCCTCACACACACTCTCTCTCTCTCTCTCTCTCCTCAGAAGCTGAGCCTGATCCACGTCAACAGTAACCAGTGTCTGGACAAGGCCAACGAGGAGGACAGCCAGGTGCCCTGCGTCAAAGACTGCACACACACACGCTCCCAACAGTGGCTGCTGCGCAACGTCACACTACCGGAAGTCTTCTGACCACACTCCGCACACTCCCAAACACACACACTCATACACACAGCGGCCCAGAGTGAGCAATCAGAGGAACAGACGTGTTTATTATTACATTCGGGCACAAGGAAAGTAAAGACTTCCCACGAGGGGATTTGCGAAGAGAGGAGGACGCATTGGACAGTACTACCTCTGCCAGAGATCACAGGGAGGAGCGTGTTTGACCCTCCTCAAAGCGAGAGAAGAGGAAAGACTCCCTCTCGGAGACGATGGCTGTTGTTTTACATTTGTTTTTTGTTTTTTTAAAGAGAATTTAAACTGAAGAGAGTGACTCGCTCGCTGGGCGCGGATATGAGACCAGAGGTTTCACTCACAGCTTCCCTGGACACAGCAGTCCACCCTTCAACTCATCACGTTTACTGACTGCTGAGTGTGTGTGTGTGTGTGTGTGTGTGTGTGTGTGTGTGTGTGTGTGTGTGTGTGTGTGTGTGTGTGTGTGTGTGTGTGTGTGTGTGTGTGTGTGTGTGTGTGTGTGTGTGTGTGTGTGTGTGTGTGTGTGTGTGTGTGTGTGTGTGTGTGTGTGTGTGTGTGTGTGTGTGTGTGTGTGTGTGTGTGTGTGTGTGTGTGTGTGTGAATGGGTGTGTGGGTGTGTGTGTGTGTGTGAATGGGTGTGTGGGTGTGTGTGTTCTCTGAGATGAATGTATGCTTTTGAGAAGGGGGCTGAATTCCTTTGTTGATTTTTTTTAATTTAATTTTGTAAAGGATTTTGAAAATGAACGACTATGAAGAAGAGCGCATTTGTAAGTGTGTGTGTGTGTGTGTGTGTGTGTGTGTGTATGTGTATGTGTATGTGTGTGTATGTGTGTGTGTGTGTGTGTGTGTGTGTGTGTGTGTGTGTGCGTGCATGCGCCCCAGCCCCTCCTACAGTCTTGCAGCAGTGAATGTCTCCCTCTGGTGTTACTCCTCGGCTTCTCATCCTACAGACTGAAGCTTCCCCGCTGAGGAATTTTTACGGGACTGCACAAACTAAAAAAAGGAAAGGACCCGACGTCTGCCATCCGCAGAGATCTAGAGATAGAAATATGATGTTTGTGATATCTTGAGATTTTTATGTCAAGTTTTTACATTGCTTTGTCCTGTGAGAGTGCCACAGAGCAGTAACCCTAGTCTGTCTGTCGTCTTTAAAGATGTTTAACATAGAGCTTACATACACACACACACACACACACACACAACAGTAACTGATATTCACTGCCTTATGTAGTGTTAAACTATAGGAAATCTCCCATAAGGCACTACATAGACACACACACATCCTGTATACATATAGGAAAAGGCGGCTCTAGCCTGATACTTTAATCCATTTTGTCATATCTTCTTCTCATTGACCTCTTAAAAAATACACTCCAAGGGCTTCTTTCCTCCAGTGGAGTGTGTGTGTGTGTGTGTGTGTGTGTGTGTGTGTGTGTGTGTGTGTGTGTGTGTGTGTGTGTGTGTGTGTGTGTGTGTGTGTGTGTGTGTGTGTGTGTGTGTGTGTGTGTGTGTGTGTGTGTGTGTGTGTGTGTGTGTGTGTGTGTGTGTGTGTGTGTGTGTGTGTGTGTGTGTGTGTGTGTGTGTGTGTGTGTGTGTGTGTGTGTGTGTGTGTGTGTGTGTGTGTGAGATTGAGGGTATGTCTTCAGTACTAATCCCCTGTCCATCAGATCCCTGTTTACCAGAACAAACAGCTCTCAGATTCCTCGCTGTTGGACAAACAGAGCCTGTAGCGTAGACTGACGTCAGATCAGCGTGTCCCTGCGTCTGTTGTACATAAGAGCAGAAGCTGCTTTTATTTTCTAAACAGAGCCGAGTCTCTGCACTCTCCCGGGGACATATCTGCAGCAGGAAAGGAAGCCTGGAAAGCGGTTGTTAGAATATCAAAGAGACGTCGCTGAGGTGTTAGCAGACTTAATCAGGGACAGATTAATAATTGTGGAGCATTGAAGGGAGTGTGGAGTTGAACTGTGGATTACAGAGAGCAGCAGCGGCAGCAGGCATATCTTAATCCATTACTACATATCTCACTGTGCAAATTCACCCGCAGTATTTCACTATTCATATCTCAGTCAGCCAGACAGCTGAGCGCTTACATCAGTGTGTCTTTTTTCAACCATCATGTTTTCTTTATTCTGTTTCTTTGTATCACTCCTGCGAGTCAGAGCAGGAGAGGTGGTTTCATAAAGGTTTTCACCATTTGAGCTTCCTCCAGTGGAGGAGGGTTTACACATAGGACACTGGATCATCTTTGTTGTTGACATGGTGGTGAGAGGAGGCTGTCGACTGATTTCATTTCTGAGCGAGTGACTGTATGGGAAAGATGTGAAAGGGTTTTTTGATTGTGCGACAGAGGGTGTGTAACGATGTTCAGATTCTTTAGGGGGGGTTGAAGTTACACTGACATGTCCAGGCTTCCACACTGAGCTGATCCAAATGTAGAAAATAAAGGTGAAAAGTTTACAGAATAATACCAGGACATGATGATTTCTGCCTCTTTTTGTCTGTACACACACACCTCACAACGTTAAATTACTCGTAGGTTGGATATTGGAGAGACATTCGATACGTTCTTTTTACTTTGGACAAGTAAGTATAATTTTAAAAAGTAGGACTTTGGTGTTTTTTCTTTTTTGTATGAATACTTATATTCGAAGATTATTTTCAATAGCTTCCATGTATTAGTGATCCCCAACCCCAATAGACCATAGACTGTGGTTTAGACCCGCAGAGAGCCATTAGGAAGACTTGTAGACAAAAGGGTTTTGTCTATCATTACCTATATAGACACCTTAAAGCAGGGTTGTCAAACTCAAGGCCCGTGGGCCAATTCCGGCCCTCGGCCTCGACTTAATTGTATGTGGCCAGTGGCCCGCAAGAGCTCTGAAAGAATAAAATACGTTTATTATACGGTTACATGCCGCTTTACAGGAGCACGTTGTCCATAAACTGCATGTCCCACAATGCATCTCGTTTTGTGACATGCACACTGAAGAGACTTGCAGTTATTTGCCCCAGACTTCTGCTTTCAGACGTTATGAAGTTATTACCCTATCCGATAATCATCCAATGCAGAGGCAATAATGTAAAATAAAACATTATTTTATATATATTATATATATATGTATATTTTTATATAGTCTTAAAAACCCTTTCATGCATGAATTATGAAAGCCTCAGTCAGGATTTTTTTACCAAGTGTTTTTATTGCTGTTGGGGCATGAAAAACAAGATTTCAACTCTAGTTTCTTTTTATCTAGTTTTTTCAAATTTAGAAAAAAAAAAGTTTATATGTCCACTCAGGTGGACAGTATGCGTTAAAGTTTGAACTGAAGACATGTACATTTGGAAAAAATGATAAATAAAGATGTGCAAACTTAAAATTACATTATAATAACATAAGTATATTGATTTACGGCCCAAAACGATATTGCAAATGAAGTATTTTCAAGAACAACAGTAGCAGTAACAGTATGAATTGTAGTTGAAATACAGCCAGTGATGCATGACGTCCACTTTAGTGGACAGGTGATTAATCATAATTTCCTGCCAACATAAAATCAATACTTTGACAATTTATGAATTATATGATTCCTTAGTTGTTACTTGATGTCACCAACATTGTTATACCTGCAGGGGCGCTTTCCATAAAAGGATTGGCAAGATATCGACGAGTGATTCGGTCCATCTGGCTTTCTGTCGTCCATCTTGGTTTAGAGAAATGTATCATGCACTTACACTGACTTTCCACTGAGTGGCAGTGTATGAGATGATGCAATAGGGTCCTATGTAGTGGCTGATGGTGCAACCATGCCATCAAAACTCATGCATACAAGAAAACACCTTTTGAAAAGCTGTCCACTGTAGAAGCCTCTATGCGTGAAAGGGTTAAAGTTACAACCGACCCTATGAGTGCAACCATAGTGCTAATGTGGCCCGCGATGAAATTGAGTTTGACACCCCTAAAGGAAATATGCTGGTTCTCTGTTGATATTGTTTTGAAAGCATTTTTTGTATAGGGTAGCGTGATGTTTTCATACAGATTCTCATTACAGGTTACAGTTTACCATTCATTCTAGTTTAAATGTTGTCTCCAGTAAGGCCAACAAAGATGTTTCTGGCTCTGTAAGGGCAGAACTTGATGTCGAAAAGTAAATATTCTGAGTTCCTCTGCTTCCTCTTGGTACTCTGTTAATCTGCTCTGTAGATCCAAGAACAGTCTACATCAATCCGACACCTCACTCTGTGTGAAGGAAATGAGAGATTCTGCTGTTCAGGAGATCTGGATCTGGGTGAGATCAGGAAGACTGCGCTCTGGTTTGTGTGCTGCAGACTTCAGAAGAACTGTTTGCAGGCTTTGATCTGAATAAATGGATCAAAGCTGAATAAGGCCGCGGCCCGGAGGGAAACTGCCAAGAAAAGACAGAATATTGAAACATGTCCTGAGGATCAGAGTGAATCTCAGACATGTGTCAATCTAATGTAGTCGTTTTATTGTTTTAATAATCAGTGTTGGTCGAATATTTTATTATTAAGACGCTGAGAATTTATTTAGACTGATCAAATCTATTGAATGTAGATTATTTAAAACAAGTTACATTTAAAAATATTGGAACAACCAGCATTTATTACTTAAAGGTGGGGTAGGTAATTTTGGAGAAACCAGCTCGAGTGCGCTAGAATTTGAAAATACACAGCCGGAAAAAATCTGCCACTTCCTTACAGAGCCCCTCCTCCAACACACACGAACGCGCACATGACCAATGAGGGCACGAGATAAGTTTGTGCACAGATGGAAGGCTGACAGGCAGGTAGGCCATCCAGTTATTTTAGCCGGGCCGCTAAAATGATTGGTCGTGCTTTTTACAGTATTACGGCTTCCACAGATGACATTTTTTTATGGATTTTTTGTCAAAACACTTAAGATATTCATTGCTATCGGGATGTTAAGAGCATTCCATGGAATATAACAAAAAGTGTATCTCGAGCCGGTTTCTCAAACTTACCTACCCCACCTTTAATTATTAAGAACTTTTATTTAAGTGTAGTAATATTGAGTAGTGGTGTAGCATTTTGTAAGGACAAGAATATCAGGAGTTTAACACATTTTTTGACAGGAGATTTTCTCATGTAAACCATCAAATTCGACATTACTAACTTTAGCAAGCCACAGTTCCCATTTTAGAAATTCACAGTGGCGTGGCGTGTACTAGTGTAAGCCAAAATGCTCATAGTTAACCTGCAGGAGTGTCTTTTGACTTTACTAGTTAAAGGTGGGGTATGAAATTTCTTTCAGAAACACTTTTTGTTATATTCCATGGAATGCTCTTAACATCCGATAGCAATGAATATATTAAATGCTTTGACAATAAATACATACAAAAATGTCATCTGTGGAAGCCGTAGCGCTGTAAAAAGCACGACCAATCATTTTAGCCGGCCCGGCTAAAATAACGCACAAATT